ATAAAAAGAAAATGGCCATCTCGACGAAACAAGAGCGTAAATACTGAAGCGTCTATAAGCACGCAAACCACACCAATTACACCGTTTACATTTAATAACGCACAAAATCCCACGCCAGCTAATGTCATACCACCTATTAGCACGCAAAAGGTCACACAAGTTAATGACGAAACGGTCAATAATACTCAAGATGTAGCATCAAGCACACGAGTTAATAACACGCAAACTGACAAAATGGTCGATAATACTCAAGATATCATGCAGTCTGTACCGGTAGCATCAAAAACACTAGTTAAGCCATCTCCACGCACAACCACACAACTTAATTTACTTTCACCATCAGAGACTGACTACCAGACTATCCACACTAAATTCATGTCTCACCTTCCAGCGGCAACTGTAAAAGCAATCTTTAGTCTAGAAATGCCAGACTACATTGTAAAACGGCACGAATTGATGAAGAAGCAGATTCCGGTTCCTCGACAAACATTTCACGGAACAAAGCATCAATGTGATCCAAACCGTTATATCGTCAGTAAAGGAGATGCGAAACCTTGTGGCGTAACTAATTGTGGATTATGTGGAATTATTCAAGATGGAAATCGTTGTGATAAGTCGAATCATAGTAATTTATTTTTGTTATTTTTTAAAAATTGTAATTTCTTATAATATAACACGACAATGCCTAACATACATAATATTACCATTTTAAGGTGTTTGGTCAGCTATTCACGCCAATACATCTTTATACTATACACTGCCCGGCCCAATACGTGCAATGTTCGTACTTGACATTCTCACAAATCTTCCAGAAAATAATGCCACTCCACATGTTACCCAGGATGCAGTAAGTCACTAATTTTTTATAAGCTCAAACGATTTTGTAATTTTTTCTAAAAAATTTGCACTTTCATTATTCAAGGCTACTATACCGCGATTCTTGATATTGTTTAGTCATGCATAAACGCTAGTTTTAGATTTGTTATAAGAATAATATTTGAACAGTGAAAGTCGATATATTGGATCTATCCATAACGATTTTTGTCCACTGGTTCCGAAAATAGTCCGTTATACCCCAAATCCGGTATATCGACTTTCACTGTGCATATGTATTTGTTTCTAATTTTTCAAAATAAATATAACAACTAACATATTAGGAAATGGTAAACATGTAATTTTTTTTGTCGGCAAAAAGTTGCAAATCATGTAATGATGATCCCATCTGACCAATAAAATTTTGCACAACTAATATGAAGGCAATTTTCCCAACCTTAATATTGGGATTTTCACTTTTTTTCGCCGCGGTTAGGTTATTGCACAAAATCGGTTTATGAAATGCTACAATACTTGACTCCCAAAGTCAATGCTATTTGAAAGTATTTTTTTTCTGAATTTGTTTAACTTTTTTATAGTTTATATAAAAAATAATAATTGTTTTACTGTGTTGAAAGGCAGCTTCAACATCTCAGGATTAAAGTAAATCACAAAGAACAAGAGCACCGAAGAAGGCAACCATCAGATGCTGCAGCTAAGTTTAACGTTAATTTCTATTTATTGATTTCCGTTGATCTTTTATTGTCCTCGTGTCCAAGCATCGATGTCGCTAGTTCCTACACCTTAGAAGATATTAGACGAGCATTCGACTATTTGATGATCTTTCGTTAATACTTTCGTTATTTGGGATGATTAATTTTAGAACTTCTTTTTAAAAATATACGTATTAGGGATTCAAATACGCCCGACTTATAAAACCGTGACTCAAAGATCCCGTGCGATACTCCTTCTTGACGACGTTTTTATATAATACTCGTTCCAATTACATTCTTCGTTACAACCTCTTTAAAGTCACACTTTTTATTGCCAATCAAAGTCAGAATCAACGTGCAACATATAATGCGCCGCCGAATGTAAGAGAATTGATAAAAATTTCTCTATAATAAAATTTATAATCTGTAGTTTAATTTTTCTGAAAGAGTTGTTCTAATTGTAAATTATCATAAAAATTTTCTAATTAAAATGAAATTTAATTAGAAAAAATTTTTGTGATAGAACACATTAAAATTTTAATATAGAGAAAATTTCAATTTTTATTATGCTATATTAATAGATTTAGGCAGCCATGTATATATTGTTTAATTATATAATATTTAATTTTATAATGTTTAATTGAAGTCAAAAGTAGCCAATTATACCAAAATTTTTTTTAGTTTAAATTTTTTGGAATAATTAAAAAATACTATATTAAATTTAAATATTTTTATACTATGGTGCTGGAAATCTATAATTGCCAATCACGTGATAAAAAATAAGATATCTTTAAAACCCTACTCTACTTTACACAGAGATAATTTCGAAAAAATAAACTGATAACTTTGTA